GTAATTCAAAGGAGTAGCCTTTCTGGAGTATTTAACCAAAGGAAAAATATAATATAAGAGCAAAAGAGAGGAAATAAAGAAAAGAGAAAAGTTAAAAAAATATTAATTAATAATTTATTTTATGGGGTCAACATGAAGTTAAGTATGGTTAAAATTATAAAATCTATAAACTATTAATACTTTTTTGAAATTTTTGAAAAATTCAATAGGTTCAATTAAACCCACAAACTACGTGCCTAACCATGTTTAATCATCGATTGATTTTTACCTTAAAATATTATTTCAATCCATTACGTGAATTCAACGATATTTAAATATGGTGTTGATTGAATTACTATTAGAACATTCTGACTACAACATTATTGTGTATATGAGTATAGGGGGGAAAATTACCCTATACTCTTAAAATTATCAAAACAATTCCAAACTTGCATTGGCATGCTATTGAATGAGTATTGAGATAACTTAAAGGTACCATCAATTATGGACTTAAGGTTCCCTTTGGAGGAATATTTGAGCTAGAGGGATACTCAAACACAGACTAGGCATGTGATACGACAAATAGAAAGTCACTAAGTGGGAGTCGTGCTTACTTTGGCAGTAATTTGGTGTCCTGGAGTTCCAGGAAACAAAAATCTGTTGCCAAATCAAGTATTAAGAGTGAGTATAGATCATTGCCCAAGCAGCTTCAGAAATGACATGGATTAGTACTTTATTAAGTGAGCTAAGTGTCAAGTTAATTGTCTCTAACTTGAGAAATGGAGAAAAATATGTATATTTGTTTTCTTTTCAAAACAAAACCTACAAGAAACGATGATTAAGAAAACTCCAAGTATCATGAAAAAGAGAAGTTCTCAATTAGGCGCAATAGACCACCACTTATAAAATAAATTTATTCATATATTAAATTATTATAATTTACTTTAATTTCCTATTTTTCACAAATGGTTTTGACAATGCACTATTATCTTATAAACCCTTATTTTTTTTTTTTTCACTATTAGAATCATTCTTAGAACAAAAAAATAGTTTAATGGAAGAAGAAAATTTGGAATGTGATATATCAAGTTACACGGAATACAAAATTATAAATTTTTAATTGCTTTACATATAAATTTATTATTATAATCTTGAGTTTATTTGAAAGGATTTTTTTAATTTTAATTTTTTATAACTTTCAATTTAATTATCTAAAGTTTTATTTTAGAAATAACGATTGTATATGTGAAGGAAATGAAATGTTAACTTTTTAAAAAGATATATGAAAAAGAGAATGGAATGGAGGGTATTTATGGATTTTATGGGATGCCCTAAGAAAAAAAATTAGTTTTAAAACTTTAAAATGTAGTATCTTAAGAAATGAGGTTTATTTATTTTATTTATAGATATTAATAGCTCCACTTATTTATTTATTTATTTTTATGTATATATATGTGACATAGCTCTAGAATTCAGATTTTTAATTTTTAAAGCCAACTCATCTGCTGTCGGCCAAATAATCCAGTCCACTGCCAAAATCAATAAGCTCAATTTTTTAAAAGAAGTGCCGGTAACTCGGTATCAGTTTATCAACAAGGAAATTGAAAGTTAGAAGCGGCTGCTTCGAGAATAGTGATTTCCTTCTAACTGTTCAAATCTTTAGTGATAAATTCTTAGGTTTGAGCAATTAGATAAGGCGTATATAAATTGGTTTAAATATTTTTAATAAAACAAAAGATAAATCTTCATGAATTTCAAAATTAGACATGAAATAACATCAATTTAGATCATTACTTAGAGAGTGGTTCTTTTCTAATTAAAGAACATGATTAAATTACTAATTATTATGATTATTTTTAATTTTGGACTTTCTTTAGTGGTAATAATTTAATGTCACCAATAATGAAATGGACATAAGTATTGTTTTCCATATTTCAATTGAGAACTTTCATGTCGAATTTTGATTGCAATTTTGACATAAGTATTGGAACTATGAAGTTTTCTACTTGGATGACCATGACAAAAACATAATCAAACTATTTTTGGGTGGTCGGGTAGTTCAATAAAGACTCTTGAGTGTATTGGACTCAAGAGGTCCTGAGTTCGAATCTCTCTTCGATTACAAATAGAGGTACCCAATGAAACTTTTATTCGACTAATAGTTTTAGAGTCTTAAAAGATTTATTGAGGTGCACGTAAGTTAATCTAAATAATGATCATAAAAAAAATAAAAACAAAAACAAAATCATTCCTAATTCACGGAATTGTTTGACAGCTTATTAATAAATAATTTATTGTTAATATACGAATCATTTTTTTTATAATCCACCATTTCAAAATTAATATACGAATAAATTATTTTTATTTTTTTTTATAATCCACCATTCCACCTTTTGAACAGAGGAAAGGCACGAAGACAACCTATTGAATGGAGAATTTCAACGAGCGATGTGTTTGCTCATAAGTCAACAAAGCGAACACATGGTAAATAATTAAATCGATTAATATTCTTAAGAATCACTTCTTCAATGTCAGCTTGGATACTTCTCATTAACTCAATTTGAAAGCGATGCAGTTCTCTACTAGATTGATTAATCTTGGGTTTGGGTTTCTCTCGTGTGAAGGATGGGCCAAAATCCTAGAGCCCCAAAAAACAAAAAAAAAAAAAAAAAAAAATGGAAAAAGAAATGCAGCTTGTTTTAGTTGATTTTTGAGCGGGTGAACAGTGAAAAGTGGGTACTGTTAACATAATAAAAATCTGCATAGAGACAGTTACACCAAGTTATTCCGGCGACGATCAAACAGTGAATCTTGCTTCGTTTTTGTTCAAATTTCAGAGCGCTGTTTTTGACAATAAGACCCTCATATCCAATGGTCAGTTTTGTGATAACCATCTTTTTTGTAGAGTTTTGCCTCTAGAAAGACAGCAAATCAAAGAGTTGAGTTGTAGAATTTTCAGTCCATTTGTCATTCTTTAACCTGACGATCGAAAGGTCATCTCTAGTCTGATCAACCTGATATTTGGTCAAAATGCAAAGGACGTTTGGCTTTCAATCTGGATGGTTGGTTTTTGATTTTAATGGCCAAATTTGGAGTTATACATCTTACATTTTGGGTACTTTGTTAGTGATTTTACTCTTATCTTTTCATAGTTCTTTTATATATTTCACCTTAATAGAGTTGTGATAAAGTTCTAAATTTTGTATGGAATATTATTGGTGATTTGTGGTTGTTGTAAACATTTTTTTTTTATTATAGTTGATTTAAATAGATCATTCGATCCCATGGTTTTTAATCTCTTTACATCGAAAAGGTTTTTCCACGTAAAATTATTTGTTTCTTGTGAATTTGATTATTTGTTCAAACATATTTGTTTAAGGTTTTGCTTCTCACAAATTCATTCAAATAGAAAACATTTTGTTAGTGCATTATTTCCTTTCAATTAAGAGTAATCCTACAAAATGATATTTAATTGTTAAATGAATCTGCAATTACTTTAATGTTACCCTACAAAGATTTTTCTCTCTATAATTGAATATTTTTTAAAAGCAGTTTTCTTGATTACTTAATTGACCACATTTTAATCGTGAAATGGGTGGAACGGTATTAGGTAGACAGAAATCGACATCACTTCTCAATTTTGATAAAATAATACGAGTTTAGAATTTAGATCATGTCTTATTCATTTACTTAATATTATTTAGACTTCTGTAGCCATAACGGTGACACTTTCCATAAACGTAATTAATTGTTCTTTAATAATCCGCTTTTTGACATATGTGTTATTTGTGTAATTAAATGGTCATCAGGTTTTGAATGGAAAATGAATAGCTTTATTAAATTTGATCGCCAGTAAATATGATACAGATGTGGCTATAAAAGTTATGCTCCTTCTATATTTAATTAGTGTTAAGATTTGGGGAATAAGATATTGATTAACGGACTAATTTGACGTTTTGTTTACTTTACTTTAATGAAGGGAGAACAACTTTCCCACCCAAGGTTTAGTAAAATGACACTTCCCCACCCATCAAGTTTCAAAATAACACTTTCCCACCCTTCATCTAGTTCTGTTATGTTTTCTGTTAATATTTGATTGGAAAGACGAAAATACCCTTAATTATTTGACTTTATAAATTTTTTTTATTAGCCAAAAAGTTAGATATTAAAAAGTCAAAAAAGAAAAAATAGTTAACCCTAATTAAAAAGTTAAGAATAATGTTATGAAATTGTTTAAAGTTAAATGACCTTAATATTTATTTATTTATAATGTCATTAGTATCTCATCACTATTATTCAATAATTTGCTAAATTTATAATATTTTTCATAATATAATATTTTTCATTTTTACTAATTAACATGAAAAATCTTAATAAATTATGAAAGAGTTGCCAAAAAGCTGTTAGGAAATAAACTATTTAAGGGTGGTTTTGTTTTTTCAATTAAATATTAACAAAAAACACTAACAAAACTTGACAAAGAGTGAGAAAGTGTCATTTTAAAACTTGATGGGTGGAAAAGTGTATTTTCGCCAAATCTTGGGTGGGAAAATGTCATTCTCCCTTTAACGTACTTAACACTACTACTTGTGTTAGGATTTTACCCACGTTAAAAGGATTCAAATTGATCAATGTGTTGTCGCTGAAAAGTCAACAAACCAACAGATGCATGTTAAATAAGTAAATGAATTATTGTTAAGAATCTCTAAGAAACATTTCTTTTCGGCTACCAGTTAGAGAGATGTTTAAGATTTACTTCTGTTGCTCATTGTATGATACTAAAATCAATGACTTCTTAAGTCCTACAGTTATGGGGAGCTTTTAATACGTCACATCGCTTGGTTAGAAAGTAATGGTTAGCTTCATTAAAGTCATATCTTTTTTTTTTTTTTTTTTTTTTTTAATAATGATTAACTAATACTTCACAGTCATACACGGTGTGTATAAATAGAGGCATTGGGAGTGCAACTACAACCTCATACAAGTCATTCCACCCAACACTTGTCCTGAAAACCTTCCTAAACCAAAATGGCTCTTTATTGTCAGGTTACTTCATCACCTTCATTAACTTGTAAAAGATTGCCGCCTTTAAACAGCTCCTTAGTTGGATCATCCGGCAACATCATTGGTCGAGCTGGTAGATCAGTACTCAAATGTATAGCTGCAACCAAAACGTCCGACGAAACCATTGTTAGACGATCAGCCAATTACCCACCTTCCATTTGGCCACATGATTTTGCTCAATCACTTGCCAGTAACTATGTGGTATATTTATGTTGTCACTTAACTTTTATTTCTTATACTTATATAAGCATATGGTTCGTATATGTATTTATAAGCAATGTTTTAAAACCCAACCCGGGGTGAAACCCGGCAAAGTTGTCGGGTTCCGGGTTGACCGGTTGAAAAAAAACTTCTAAAATTCAGCAAATATACCCCTAAAAATTAAGTTAAGTCCTATAGGTTTGAAATTTAGCAAACACACCCCAAATACAAATCTGCCGGTGACTAGTTGGCAACAACAACATCTCAGATGCAAGTCCAATCGTCCTTTGAGCCAATTCTCCTTAAAATATACCCCAGATCTGGCCGAAATAGGTTCGATTTCGGCCAGATCTCATCGACGCGGGCGTCGACAACCCTCCTTATCACCCAAAAATTACTTCCCTCTTCCTCCTGACCAAAACCCACCTCACCCCACCCCCGTTAGCCTTGCCAATTGCTGGCAAAAGGCAGTTGTTCCTGCTTCTAGTTTTGTTCGATTTTCGATCGATTTACTCACGGGAAATTAACTCCATTACCACCATTACATTCATCGGCACTTCCTCTTCAAAAGTCCCAACATCCCTGCCGTCAATTGTTTGCCAATCATTCTCCCAAATCCTAGGGTTTTGGGTGAATAGGAAAAATATTAACCCAGCTCGTTAAAGCTTCCAGGTCTCGGTTGAACCGGTTAAACTGGCTAGGTCGAGCTGGGTTTTAAAATATTGTTTAGAAGTTATTAAACTTAATTAGTTCTGATATATGCAGGGAGAACCGTTTGCCAAACGGGTTGAAAAGCTTAAGGAAGAAGTTAGGTTGATGCTTAATTCGGTGGATCCATTACATCAACTAGAGCTTATCGATGACTTGGAAAGACTTGGAGTATCTTATCACTTTCAGGAGGAAATAAAGAGAATCCTTAAAAAGATACACAACAATAATTCCAGCAATTATAACAAAAGAAAAGAAAGTTTACATGTAGTAGCTCTTGAATTCAGACTTTTAAGACAACATGGCTATGATATACCTACAGGTACATAATATATATCTATCACATACACAAAAAGTTGCGATCTATAGTCATTTATACACAATTTTTCTACCAAATATAAAATTTATTGGATTCGTGAGATTCTTTTATAGTGCAATGTGATGGAAAAAGTAATTAATTTCCCTTTCATTCTTGCATCCTTTTTCCAGAAATTTTTGAAAATTTCAGGGATGAGAAAGGAAACTTCAGGCCATGCCTCAAAGATGATTGCAGAGGAATTTTATCTATGTATGAAGCTGCATTTCTTTTGAAAGAAGGAGAGAATTCTATCTTTGATGATTTTAGAAATTTCACAACCTCCTACCTCAAGGAATATGTGAAAGAAAACAAAGATCAATATCTTTCCACTGTAGTGAGCCATGAGTTAGAGCTTCCACGGTATTGGAGGATGCCAAGATTGGAGGCAAGGTGGTTCATAGATGTATATGAGACAAGACCTGACATGAACAGTATCGTGCTTGAGCTTGCTAAACTCGATTTTAACATGGTGCAAGCAACGCACCAAGAGGATATGAAGTCGGCATCAAGGTAAGACTCTAGCTATACCTAATTAAGAGCGGGTAAAGTTGTTGATTTAATATCTAAACATGAAACTACAACATAAATATAAAAAGCAATTAATAAACTAAAAATCATTGGAACTTCTTAAATATCTTATTCACATGATGATGTTCTTATTCATATAAAGGAAGTGGAAGAAGATGGGTCTCGGAGATCAACTTAGTAGTTTTGCACGGGATAGCTGGATGGTGAGTTTCTTTNTTGAGATCTCTCCATCACAAGGTAAGTAAATCCCAACCCAAATGAGATTTGAGAATTTTCTTGATTAGGGTTTTAAGAGCAGGGTTTTAATAGCAATTATGGATGTATGTTATATGCTATGTTATTGAGTCTCAAATGGAGATTATTATTGCTTTGTGGTTGTTCATACATTTCAATTATGAGAAGTGAGATGTGGGTTGGAAAGGTAGTGTGAGATGGAATTGAAGGATATTGAGAAATCCTTTTTGGAAGTGTTATTCTTTGGCAGGAATTATGGCTATGTGAGGGAGTTTTCTCCCTTTTTGGATGGTTAGAGAAAGACATAGAATTATTGTTATAGTAGAGTCTTGTTATGCACTTGAGTTGTTTGATGAAATGCCTAATAGAGGTTTGAGTATGAGTAGTGAACCTTAATTCATGCAACATTGCATGCTGGCATTTCATAAGTGCATTAGTGGAGATGAACCATCCGTAGGCATTAATTGTGCACTGAGAAGTGATTTAAGAAAGAGTAGAAAACTTTGTGTATGCACTTGCTTAATGAGTAGAGAACTTTGTGAATGCAGTTACTTTAAGGGTAGAGTGAATGAAAAGAGCATTAGAAATGGGTTGATGCTTTGTGATAATCACTCGACAGTTATTAGAAATGGGTTGATGCTTTGTGATCATCAACCTATAGTTATTAGAAATGGGTTGATGCTTTGTGATAATCACCCGACAGTTATTAGAAACGGGTTGATGCTTTGTGATCGTCATCCAAAAGTCATGAGGAACGGGTAGATGCTTTGTGGTCTCCACCCGATAGTTACAAAAACCGGGTAGGTGCTTCGTGATCCCCACTCGGTAGTCACTAAGAGCGGGTTGGTGCTGTGTGAACGCCATCCGGCCCTCCCTCCGGTAAGATGAGACCATGACGTTTAGTAGAAAACAATAGAAAGAAAGTGTGAGGAAAGAATTAAGAGAAATACATACGGGGATAGACAGATAGAGGGTTTACTTACTGAGCATTATTTTTTGCTCACCCCGTTATTTTCCTTTGTGGATGCAGGATCTAGATGATGATGTAGTCGGAGGGGCGTCGGCAAGCGAGGAGCAATAGCTACACTGTTTCCCCTGTTTTTGTCTTTTTAAATGGCATTTTGTAAATAATGCTCTTTGTGTATAAAAGACTTATTACTTAAAAAAAAAAAAGTTTTGGGCCCATTTTCTATTATTATTATGCATGCATTGTACTAGTTTACAGCAGTTGTTACAACTATGTCTGCTACAGTGAAAGTAAAATAAGAAGCAAATAAAATAGGTTGACAGAGATTTATGTTATATGGAGTACGATCGGAATTTAAAAATTAGAATAGATATATTTTTGGAGAAGTCATTTAAGACAAACAAATAAGTTTTAATCTTTATTTAAAAGCCAAAATTTTTAGTTTTTTTCTATTAAGAGGAATATTATTGATTCTCAGTCTTAAGTGATTAAATATCTAAATATAAAAGATTCATTTTTTCTAATATTTTAAGAAATGATGGAGGAAATAATTTTTGAAAAGGATTTCTCATTATTGTATTTGAATGGACACCAATTCCACACTATCTACAAGTCCATAATTTTAACAATTAGTTTCTTGATTACCTAACTATTCACATTAATTTTATTCATGAAATGGGTGAAATATATAGTATAGGATTAGATAGAAATCACGTTCAATTCATTTTTTTTTTTNAGAAAATTCTAGAAAGTTAATATTTCATTTTTCTTAATGTTCTGCAATACCAGCTTTACAATTTATATACAAGAGAATTGTATCGATCCTTGTCAAATTGCATCTACATCGTTCATATTGACATAAACAAACACAAAACTATATCTTCTTCACCATTTGATCTCAATAAGAAGAGCCAACTTCTCTACTGCAAGAGAAAGTTGCATCTCTAGAATCATGAAGAACGTGTGAAAGAGCTAATGTTTTTCTTCTGCTCTAAAAACGACTTCGTATTAGGGCCATATTATGAATACAAAAACGACGATAGGGACTGCCATTCTTGTAGGCTTTGCTTGAGTTGAAGCTTGAACATTTTATTCAACATTGTCCCTCAAGCTAAACTCAGCAAAGACTAGATAAAAAAAAAATCATTCAAGTTACTGTCAACATCATCCCTTAAGCTCAAGCTTAGCTCAGCTCAACTTATTTACTGTCAACCTCTTTTTGTTTCACTTTCTTCTGCTTCAACTAACTTCTACTTTGAACTGGAATTTGAAGCTTGCTCAGGTTAGGCTAATCGTCCCTCAAGCTCAAATTCTAGAGATGAGGAGGCAAAGAGACGAAGTTGGTCATGAAGAGTTCGAAAGCGAGAGCTGGAGAGTGGCTTTGTTAGAATATTGACAATTTGTAAAGTGAAGGAAAAATACTATACAACCAGACATTTGGATTGAACCATTTCCCTCACAAAATGCACATCAATTTCAATGTGTTTAGTGGGAGCCTGGAAGATGGGATTAGAGGTAAGAGCCCTTGCATTTGTGTTGTCACACTAGAGGACAAGAATGTTTGGAACAAAGATATGGAGTTCTTGAATAAATTCCGAAGTCAAGCTATTTCATTGGAAGCTTGGGCTAAGGCACGGTACTCTGCCTCAGTAGAGGATAAGGCTACCACCTGTTGTTTCTTGGAACACCATTGGATCAGATTGAAGCCAAGGAAGATATAATATCCACTAGTGATTTTTGATCATATGTGCTACTAGCCCAGTCAACATCAACATCAACATATCATTCATGCTGTAATGTAGAACCTTTACTGAAAGTTAAACCATGACTTAGAGTCCCTTTAATATAACGAAGGACATGGTTGCATGCCTGCCAGTGGTTAAGAGTTTGAGCCTTGAGAAATTGACTCAATTTGTTCACCACAAATGAGAGATTAGGCCTGGTCATGGTGAGATACTGTAAGGCCCCAATGAAACTTATGTAGACAATAGGTCGTTCAAAAAGGGGACTATCATCAAGACTTAGTGGACCTAAGAATTATCAAAGTGGCATAGGGATTGCAATTTGTCATGCCATATTTGAGTAGAATTTCCTGAGCATACTTTCTTTGATTAAGTTGCAATCCTTGACTAGTATGAACCACAGAAATGCCTAGAAAGCAGTTAATAGAGTCGAGAATTTTGAGACTAAAAGTATTGTCCAAATTTGTCGCCACCTGTCGAATCAATGAGGGGTCATTCCTTGTTAACAAATTATCATCTACGTAGACAAGTATGTAAACAAATTTGCTGCCTTGATGATTATAGAAGAGATTGGAATCAGAGGTGGAGTTCTTGAAATTTTTCTATAGTAGAGTAGTCTTAAGCTTGTTAAACTAGGCCCGTGGTGCCTGTTTCAAACCATACAACGCCTTGTACAATTTACAAATATGTTGAGGTTTAGAAGGATCAATGAACCCTTCAGGTTGAGGCATGTAGACCGACTCAGTAAGATCACCATTAAGGAGGACGTTATTGACATCAACCTATTGAACATCCCAAACGTGACTGACCACAAGAGATAGAATGACACAAATTATGGAGGCCTTGATTACATGGGAATAGGTTTTGAAGTAGTCAACCCCCGGAGTTTGATGGAATCCCTTGGCAACAAGTCTTGCCTTGTAGCGTTGGACACTGCCATCAACATTCAGTTTCACCTTAAAAACCCACTTATTGCCAACTAAAGTCATATCATCTGTATATGGAACTAAGGACTANGACCGAGTCATTCTCCTTGGGGAGCCCCAATCCTGTTTGTGAAAAAGAAAGATGGATCACTAAGGATGTGTATTGATTATAGGGAGCTGAATAAAGTTACAGTGAAGAATAAGTACCCACTACCCCGGATAGATGACCTTTTCAATTAGTTGAAAGGAGCGGCAGTGTTCTCCAAAATTGATTTGAGGTCCGGGTATCATCAGGTAAGAGTAGTTGAGCAAGATGTGGCTAATACTGCCTTTCGTACAAGATATGGGCATTATGAATTTGTAGTAATGCCTTTTGGCTTGACTAATGCCCCAGCAGTTTTTATGGACTTGATGATCAGGGTATTCCATGAGTATTTGGATAAGTTTATTATTGTTTTCATTAACGGCATCCTGATTTATTCTACGTCGAGGGAAGAACATGAGGAACACTTGCGATTAGTATTGCAGCGACTGAGAGAAAAGAAGTTGTGTGCTAAATTTTCTAAGTGTGAGTTTTGGCTTGATCAAGTGATATTCTTGGGCATACTGTCGTCGAAGGAAAGGATTTCGGTAGATCCGAGTAAAGTGCAGGCAATCCTTGAATGGCAGAAGCCGAGAACAGTGAAAGAAGTTAGGAGTTTTTTAGGCCTAGCAGGTTACTACTGGCGATTTGTATCGGGATTCGCCCAGTTGGCTAAACCGTTGACANTAACAAAAGAGTGGTTTGGGTCCGTAGAACGAGCCACAGGTTTATTTCCCATGTCAAACCGGGAGAAGATCCGGTATGCGAGTTTCTTGTTTCGGGGTGATGCCTGAATTTGGTGGGAATTAATGGAAGAAACTCATGATGTGATAGCAATGACTTGGGAAGAGTTCAGGAAAGAGTTTGAGGCCGAGTATAGCACAGAGGACCAAGTTCATGAGAAGGTCCAAGAATTTATCAGCTTACAGCAAGGGACTAGTGCCGTGAAGGAGTACTCGGTGAAATTCAATTCCCTTGCAAGGTTTGCACCCGGAATAGTTAGTACTCCAGCTTTGAAAAGGGATAAGTTTGTGTACGGGTTGAAGCCGGAGATAGCCCAGGATATAATGACAAGTTCCAATCCTCCTCCAAATTATAGTGAGGCTTTGAGGCGGGCAATGAAGACGGAGATTTTTGAGAATAAAATTTCCCCAGTAGGTTCCTCGACAGGAGGACCAAGTAAGCCACCCTCCGCCCTCCAGAGAGAGAAACATGAGGGTGTAAAA